TAGACGTCATACAATAAACTTGGACATCTGTCAACATAACTCCATAGAAATATTAATCGATTTGTGTCTGCATCATAAAGTTATTCTCGATTGAAAATGTCAGTTTACGAGTCAAATTTTCGTCATTTGCGGGAGGTTTTAATTTTCTGCTTCAATATAAAGAAATTTGCAGCTGAGATTCATCGAATGCTCTCAAATACTTATGGTGAGACCGCTATTAGTGAAAGAACGTGTCGTGAGTGGTTTCAACGCTTCAAGAACGGTGATTTTGACGTCGAAGACCAGCATAGCGATGGAAGAGAAAAGGTTTTCGAAGATGCAGAATTGGGGTGTATATCAGTTGGACACGGGGCAATTGGACACAGTCCAATCACAAGTCGCTGTTCCAAGGGACCCTACAAATGTCTCTAGTCACACGGTGCTGTGATTAGCTGTGTCCAAATGCACCGTGTCCAAGTGCACCGCTCCCGCAGAATTGGAGGCATTACTTGATCAAGACTCGTGTCAAAATCAAGAAGAATTGGCACGATCATTGGGAGTGACTGAACAAGCCATTTCAAAACGCCTCAAAGCCATGGGAATGATTCAGAAGCAAGGAAATTGGGTGCCGTACGAATTGAAGCCGAGAGATGTTGAACGGCGTTTGTTTGCTTGTGAACAGCTGCTTGAAAGGCAAAGACGAAAGGGATTTCTGCATCGCATTGTGATTGGGGACGAAAAATGGGTTCATTACGATAACCCCAAGCGCAGAAAATCATGGGGAGTTCCCGGCCAAACCGAATATTCACGGCTCCAAGGTTATGCTCTGTATTTGGTGGGACCAGCTCGGCGTAGTGTATTATGAGCTATTAAAACCGCCTGAAACAATCACAGGCGATCGGCAATTGATGCGTTTGAACCGAGCATTGAAAGACAAACGGCCGCAATAGAACGAGAGACACGATAAAGTGATTTTGCAGCATGACAATGCTCAACCCCATGTTGCGAAAGTGGTCAAGACATACTTGGAAACGTTGAAATGGGAAGTCCTACCCCACCCGCCGTATTCTCCAGACGTTGCTCCCTCTGACTATCACTTGTTTCGATCAATGGCACACGGCTTGGCTGACCAGCACTTCCGGTTTTATGAAGAAGTAAAAAATTGGATCGATTCGTGGATTACCTCAAAAGATGACCAGCTTTTTCGACGCGGGATTCATACGCTGTCCGAAAGATGGGAGAAAGTAGTGGCCAATACTTGCGATGGACAATACTTTGAATCATAAATGTATAACCAGTTTTTTACAATAAAGCCTCGAATTTCGGAAAAAAACGGCGAAAGCAAAGTTGTACACCTAATATATATATATATACCCAGATAGCATAGAGATGAACAGAAGTTCCTAGAGAATTCATTTTAAAAAATAGATATAGAATTAGAAAAATGAATACCCGAAGAATTCTTGAAGAATTAACTACAGTAAGTTTGTCTTGAAATATTCCTTAGGACTTCATTATTGTGAATACTTTGCAACTTAATTCTTAGAACACTTTGAGAATTCATGAGGAATTAGGGCTAAGGCAGAGAACGAGACGTAAGCGTCGTAATCGTAGACGTAAAGTAAGGCAGAGAAAAACGTAAGCGTAAGGTTAATAGACTTTCATGATTTACGTTTACGTTTTTCTCTACTTTATTTTACGTCTACGACTATGACGTTTATGTCTTATTCATCTGCCTTAGTCCTTACAAATGTTTTGTTTATAGCAATTACTTGTTGCACCTATATTCAGTATATGCCAATGAGTGTATAATAATTAATTTACATATTTACATATAAATTGTTTAATTTATTGTTATTCGCAGTTATTTATATTTTGTGGAATTAATTATATAGTTTTATATAATAGGGCAAAGAGAGGGAATTGGTGTTAAAATAACTTTTGATATATAAAATTTTCACCTGTATCAATAATAAATATATTTATGCAAAGTATATTTTATCCTTAAGTTTATATTCATGTTTCTAAAATCCATACCCTAACAGGGGAACGTCCCGATTGACCACGGTACGATTGGACACAACCAACCGATGAAGAGAATTATCTAGTGAATTACTAGATCGAACCAATCATTACAATCTTTGTCCAATCGTATCGTGGTCAATCGGGTCCCACTCCCCTAACAGCATGGGGACGTTCTGTAGACGTTCTGAGTAGATCGCAATGCGTATATTGCGATCATATCAGAATGTTCTCATATACCAGGTGTAGAAGTATGAAACCGGAATTTTTTTATACAAATAAGACGTCTGTTGTTCGAAAGTGATAAATAATACTTTATTCAAAATAATTTCCACTGTTTTGAACACATTTTTCCCACCTCTCTGGCAGTTTATGAATGCCGTGCCAAAAAAACTTTTCATCTTTTGAAGCGAACCAGTTATCTAGCCATTTTTCCACATTTTCATACGAATCGAAGCGTTGGTTAGCGAGAGCGTGTCCTAGCGATGCGAACAGGTGATAATCGGACGGAGCCAAGTCTGGAGAATAAGCCGCATGCGGTAGTAATTCCCAACTGAACGACTCGATCGTTTCCTTGACCCGTTTTGCTGTATGTGATGGGGCATTATCATGGAGCAAAATGACATTGTGTTGCCTTTTTGCATATTCTGGTCGTTTTTTAGTCAATGTTCGATTTAAATCGATCATTTGTTGTTGGTAGCGATTAGTATTGACGGTTTGACCAGGTTTCAGCAGTTCATAGTTCATAGTTCATAGTTCATAGTTCTTCGTTCCTCACGTCAAAATCACCACTTTTGAATTTTTTAAACCACTCGAAACACTGAGATTTACCAAGAGCATATTCACCGTAAGCTTCGACAAGCATTCGATGTGATTCTGCAGCAGTTTTCTTTAAATGATAACAGAAAATCAATGCTGTCCGCAAATCATAGTTAGTAGGCTCGAAACGTGACATGTTTAAGGTTATACAAAAATATACTAGAGAATGAAAGTTGGGGTTATGTTTGTTGACAATATTCGTCAGCTGTTAGGAGAATATAATAGCGCGGCAGTAGCGGTCTTACGGTCACTAAACTGAACGCTGGCACCATTTATAGGGGAATTCCGGTTTCATACTTCTACACCTGGTATATTGCGATCGACTGAGTACGTTCTGAGTACGTCCCTATGTCTAGGGTAGCAGCTACTATAGAATTTCGCTGCGAATGTCGTGCGAATGTTTGTAGCAATGTCGACAGTCTCAGGACGGAATGAAAACTGGAAGGTTTCATTACATCACATATAAACGCACACACACATGTGCAGCTAAGCGCGCGCGCTCATATATAAGTTAGATTAGGTTATTAATTGGATATTTTTATTTCATTATAAATTCATTTTTATTAATATAAATTCTTTTACAAATGAATAATATACTCTTTTATTGAGATTATTTATAGCAGACTTTTATAAACACAAATAACCTAATTGATTGCGATTCATCGCCTCCGCGGCGTTCTCGGCCGTCGACGAGCGACGCTTTCAACTACTTGGAATCAATGGGAGCCAGCGATAGCAAAGAATCTTACACTAGGAACCTTTACTGCTAATGGCATCCTTACTTAAAACCAATAAGAAAATGCTATGCGGCTTTATAACATAGAATTACCTCAAACTCTTTATCAGAATATATGAAAATTTCTATGAAATATTAAGAAATATTATGTAATTTATATGTAAAAATTGTTTCGCTAACTCTATTCAATATTTTATGGAATTAAAATTAAGGAAGAAACAGGATTACCTTTAATATTAATCAGATCGATCAATCGATCTGCCTCATCACTGCTCGTCACCACATTAATGGACGGTACCCATGCTACTCGGCTACCGGAAAAAGATCAAAACAGGGTAGCGATCATGAATCTCTCACGTAAACTTCATTTTCATTTTTCATTTTTTATTGTAAGTTATATCACATGAAAAGTGAATGAAAATGTGGAAAGCAATATTTATGTAATATAGATTATTAAAATTAAAATGTAATTACAATATACACAATATAATATATAACACATTAATAAGCATTATGCAACTTAAATTTATAATTATAATATAATATAATAATACAATATAAGTAAATTTAATAAATGAGACGAACGTTAACCGTGAAAGGTGAATTCTCAAAACGTGAAATATTTCACATGAACTTTCAGTTTGCTCGTATATGTTCTTCTTTACATATAAATTGTGTAAGTTTCCATGAAAATTTTTAAGCATCAAGTGATATGGTTTAAATGTGAAAAATAATGTAATACTACGCATATTATGTACAAAGTGAGTAGAATTTCTTATAGTGACTTTAATTTTTATGGCTATACGACAATTGGCATTTGACATACGGATCCTACGTCCATTAAAAATGAACAACGAAAGCCAATTGAAGCGTGATGACGTTGTAACGTCCGGATCTATTTTAGAACATTAATAATATTGTTACGTCCACGATAGATAACTATATAGGGAAATTTGAAAGTAGTGAAATCAGTGACTTACGTGGACGGTCAACAGAGTGATGGCTCCGCTTT